GAAAGGTGCTAAAAGGAGGGGATACGAAAGCGAAGCCATCACCATCGCGGCTATCGACTCATTCCGCAACGCGTGTTTATGAAAGGTCGCAAAACATGCCCCGAGAGTCCGTAAACTGTGCTTAAACTACTCCAGAAGTGGCCATTTGGTCACACAGTGTCATCTACTGCTAACTGCAGAATATTTGAAGTGGCAGAACATTTCGAATCTTCCGGCTTACAACAACGGGGAAACGAACAGCTGGTGACGCCGATGCCCACGAGCTGTCGCTAGTAATTGAGCAGGCGTCATGTGTCTCTGAAGCGGGTACTTTTTCTATTCCTGTCGCCATCAACGGATTAAAGGCATCTTGGACTCCGGAGCTGTAAAAAGCTCGATTATGGCACCAATTGTTGACAAACTCGAATTAAGCATTAGGCCTTCGTCCCTACATTTGGTAAGAGCGAGCGGCCATCAGCTACAAAATTTAGGTCAAGTCAGTGGTGTGGTGACAGTGGACGACCAAACACTGCAGCATGACTTTGTTGTTGTTCCCCAGTTACCTCATGAAGGAATACTGCTAGGGGATGACTTCTTGCGGGCTTGAAGAGCCTTCATCAACTGGGGCTCGGGGAAATTCGCGGTATCGGTCCCCCAAAGGCTACGCAAGGTTGGAAGATAAAAATCATTTAATGGTCATTACCGAGACAAAGCTCTTGTACAACTGCTATTCAGTCATAGTGGAGCCCATGGTAACTAGCTGCATTGGAAAATACAACGAAGGTTTTGATCACGAACTGCTCTTCTCAAGCCATCATTGCTTCCATATCAGATGACAATTGGCCTCATTGAAGAAGCAAGGCAGAATTTAGGATATTGAACTTTCTGGAGAGGACTGCCAACATATCCTCCAAATTTCATGTCTTCCTTCTCCTGTGGACCTTGATGCGCCAATAGCTCATGCGGTCGTCGATCCGCAGCACAGTTTAATCGCAATAGGAGACGTCAGCTTTAACATTGGAACAACGTTATCTTCCGATGAGCTGCAGGTCGTCAAGGATTTGTGAGTGCAACATTCGGTTTGCTATGCACAGTCAAGTGTAGATGTAGGCTCTTGCACAGTTGAGCGACATTGCATACTAACTGGAAACGCAAAGCCAATATCGCAACGTCCTCACAGATTGTCCCCTAGCACAGCGTGATCTCGTCAAAATATGATCAAGGACCTCATTCGATGCCAATATAGTGCGACCTTCTCGGAGTCCTTGGGCGTCACCCCTTCTCCTTGTAGCAAAAAAAGGACGGGACGACGTGCATGTGAGTTGATTATCGATGTCTCAACACCGTCACTGAGGACATTGTGTACCCTTTTTTTAAGAATTTAATATGCGCTTCAGGCACTTACCGGAGCAAGTACTTCTCTGTTATGCACTTTGGTGTCTGGATTTTATCAGATCGCTATGCATCCAGATGACACGCAGAAGACTACCTTCGTCACGCAGTTGGGTCTTCATGAATTCCTCCAGATGCCATTTGGCCTTAAAGGTGCCCCATTCACATGTCAGCGAGTCGTAGATACGATCATTGACGGTACTAAATACGACAACGCCCTTGTGTATATGAATGACTGCGTAGTCTTCAGCGGGACATTTGAAGAACTCGTTTCGCACCTTCATAAAATATTTACAAGGTTCGAAACAGCAACCTCAAAGTTCAAGCTACAGAAGTGTTTCTTTTTTGTACTGCCATCAATTACCTTGGACACGTTGTCACAAAATACGGTGTATCTCCTGACCCATCGAAACTGGCAGCGGTTCAGGCTTTCCGGCCTCCTCAAAATGTACAGAACTACAATAATTCATCGGGCTCACATCCTACTTCAGGAAGTTTATCCTGAATTAAAGCATTATCACAGCACCTCTTCGATCACTCATAAAGAAAAACGCTAGCTACTTTTTCTTGGGAAGATTAGCAAGTGGCATTTGAGACATAAAAGCGCGTTTTATGCCAGCTGCCTGTCCTTAAGCTATTCTCCGAAAAATCAGAATTAGGTGTCCAAGTGCACACAGATGTATCTCGTCTCGGGAGTGGGAGGTCTATTGCTGCAAAAAGATGCAGAGCGACTATATTGTCCAGTGCTATACTTGAGTCGATCTCTCAAAGGCGCAGAGTTTAATTATTCTTCTTTCAGTAAAATGGGCATTAGAAGAGCTACGACCATACCTGATTGGCCGAAAATTTTAAGTTGTCAATGACCACCATGCACTGTTCTGGGTCTTGCGCTATAAGGAAGGAAACCAACGCCTTCTTCGTTGGTCACTGATTTTGCAGGAATTTGACTGGTGTCATCTATAAATCAGGAATTCTGCAGAGCGCACCAGATTTTATTTCCAGGAATCCCCCCATTGTTGGTGATGCTGAACCAATTCTTGCAGTATCATATTCAACACTGTGATTCTGTGGCAACATGGGTGGTGAGCAGCATCAGGATTCATTTTGCGCTACAGTCCTGGATATGCTTAGGGGTGCGCTAGGCACGAAAAAGCAACAGAAACGCGTGCAATGAAGTTTATCACGCATAATGACGTGTTGTACAAAAGAGACCAAGGCCCTGTCAGCAGTCGATTTCTCCTTTGCCTTCCTGCACAACGACAAGCTGAGGCACTTCGTGAAATGCATGAAGGACGATACGGTGGCCACATGGGCATCAGGCGAACATTGGATGTCCTTAGGTCTAAGTATTACTGGCCGAAGCTTTATGCAGATGTCAGACGGTACGTGCGTCACTGTGACCTTTCTCAGAGGATCAAGATGATGACATAGGTGCCTTACGGTTTATTACAGCCAATAGAAGTCCACAGCCCATTTCAAGCAGTTGGGATGAACATAATAGGGCTATTCAAAACTTCAAGAGGTCACAAGTACATAATTGTAGTCATTGATTACCTCACAAAGTTCGTGGAGGCAAAACCACTCCGGAGCATAGAGACTGCAACCGTCCGAAATTTCGTCGAACGACGAATCATCCTAAAGCACGGATGCCCAGCCACAATTACCACAGACCGCAGTACTCAAATTGTGGTGCGCTCTACTAAAGCATACCTCAAACATCGGGACATCAGACATGCTGCCGCTACCGCATATCACCCCGCAGCAAACGGCTTGTGCAAAAGAGCCAATAAGACAATCAAACAGATGATTGCGATGACTACCACCGGAGGAGAAATATGGGCCGATGTCCTCCCTTACATTGTATTCTGTTACAACACCGGGTACCAAGACACGGTTCGCCAAACTCCCCTTTTCCTGGTCCACGGTAAGGATCCGGTGCTACCATTAGATGTATACAGCCGCTGAGAGCTTGAAGAGCTCAAAAAAGAATCGAACTATTTCACGGTAGTGCGTGAATGACCACAAAACGCCAGGGAGCTTGCGGCCACGCACATATGACTGGCTCAAGAAAAACAGAAGCGGCACTTTTACAAGCACCACAAGGACGTTGTGTTTGAAAGAGGACAACTGGTTCTCCTCAAGTCTCCAATGTCCGGAGTGAAAACAACTGCATGGTACACCGGACCTCGCAAGATAGTGAAAAAATCATCTCCCGTGAACTACGAGATCGAACTCGCGGACAACATGGGAAGTGACATAGTGCGTGTTGAAAAGTTAAGACAACATCTGAGCCACATCGCACACACGGAGCAACCCAATGCTTCGGACTAATGTGCACATAGGTGCCGTTCAGTGTAAATATTTGTTGGTCCTTGTATGTAGTTTTGTGTGCCTGAAAGTGGATAGACAATGTTTTGTTGACTTTTGTGAATAGTTACAGATAGGACTGTTTAAGTTAGTTTAGTTACGTCTGTCTTAGTGTTTTGTGTTTGAAGTCGGGACGACTAGTTTCCAAACCTGGGCATGAGACGAGCGATAGCAGACGACGCTTGGTGCATGGCGCCTTTGCGCTAGGAAAACGAAGTAAATCGGCGCCGAGCTAGCGGGCGCCCGAAGAAAGTGAAATAAAAAAAAGGTCTGGCAGTCCTTTCCTGACCTTTAAAGAGTGTGGACGTCCTTCTTAGGCCACCTCAAAACCCAGTTTATCCAACGGCCACAACGGTACACCACAGAAGGTTTGTTAGATCTATAAAGAAACTACAGGGTCACCTTTAAAATTGGCGTGATTCAGAGGCCATTTAAGGGAATAGGCGCACTAACGCGTGGATCTTTTGTAGTGGTTGGCCGGCTTGAAACCACGAAGTCTTAAGGATATTCGCATGCTCTCGATACCCGATAGAAGTGTACGCTCGTACCACGCAATATTACTGCGATATTACACGTGTATTGTGAAGCCGGTATACGAGGTGCATGTGTTATAAATACACCTTAACTGCATTTGCAAGCACAGGAAGTTATTTTCGCTGTACTTCCAAGCAGACGCGTGGCTGTGACGTAGAAGACCTGGTTGACCCACAAATGGCCTGTAGTTTCGACCGTCCTCTATACCCAAAAATGTTTATTTATATTATCAGAATTTTGTCACAATTTTTCGGTATTGGACTAGACGATAATTTTTCACTCACAGCCAACGAAGTCGACACCGAGGCCGAGACCGACGCCGGAATTTCTGCGAAACAAGCTCTTTAACGTTATCGAGTTAAAAGCAGCTTCTACATTCAATCAACCATTAGTTGGATGTTATAAATATAGTAGGATCATGTCATTACCAGCCTCTTATTCACGGATTCCCTATTGCCATTCAAGGCTCGCGCTGAGATTTGATTTGACGGTTGATTACGTAAGGGAATTCTTCTTAGACGACATCAAATGAACAGGCGAGATGAGATTGCTTTCTATGAATGGTCGAAATTATTGTTTCATGGGAGTTCGTACGTTTGGTTGACATAGGGGAATAAAAGAAATGCTGACATGTCCTAATTTAAGTAATTCATTTCACGGGTGCTCTAAAAATTTGAAACCCTGTGGCCAGTGGTGTACTTACTCATGACGTCACTTCGTTCCCACAGCAAGGCCGAGATTCACCAGGACATCGCGACCTGCCTCGAGGAGAACGCCTTGCAGTGCCGGTTCTGCAAAGAGTACCTCAGTGTCGATGTTTACTCCGTGGCCACCGACGAGGTCCTCATGTAAGACATTTCACCTGAGCTTCGAACTGAATTGTACAATTTGAAGAAAAAAAGTTTTTGACAATGTACCGCAAGAATTTAAACTATGGTCCATGCATGCTCTCTGCATTGTCTTTTTGCGAGTTCTTTTTACTAGTAGGGATGACGGCACATACAATAGAAACTAGATTTCTCACATAAAGAAAGTGGCTCATGCTCTTGGATAGTCGTGAAAACTTTTCGTCACCAACGCCAACAACAACAAGCTTATTCTTACATCTTATGCTTTCGACGAAACTGCTTATAATTTTAATGTGTGTGCGCACTCGCGATTTTTGTTACTTCGAAACACAAAAATAGCTTTGTGTTTTAGAAACGGGTACCATGTGGATTTATATGCTACGGCAGCGTTTAATGTATGCGGGTGTTGTTTTTCGAACATTAACGAGCTTTCAACAAGTTCCGTGAGTGTCCTTCGCCATGTCTGCCATGGCGATGTAGCTTTGCTACGTGCTTTTCTTCAAACGTCCTGTGAGTTGACATCATTCTACTTTATCCCTTCTCTAAAATCGTCTATGTCGTTGAAACATTTCGTTTGCATGGTCACTTCAAAGCGCTTCGTGAGCGCTCCAATAGTATTATAAAGCAGCGCCAGATTTTATCGAACCAACGTACAAGCTCAAAACTAATTTAACTGTTATGATTGAGACACCTCGTAGTGAAGCACTTTAGAATAAGTTTGGCTACCATAGGGTTATGTATTATGCACCTAAATCTAAGAGCATGGGTGTTAGCTCCCACGTCAAAAAGCAGCTGATGTGGTGAGGAATCGAAGCCGCGATAAAGTGTACACTGTAGCTGGTACACTGTACAGCTGCTACCTCCAGCTCAGTCTGCAACGCACTGCGTTATCGGCCGTGCTAACATGGCTAGAAAAACGGAAGACGAAACTTAATAAACGCAGAAGGCTACATCTCGTGCGTGCAATGTAACGTTCCAGCAGTATTTGTAGCGGCAGTCTTTCACCTGCGTACAGTTCTTCCTGACCATGGAGTACGGATAGGCTGCGAATATTTTCCAGACACATCCTAATTGAAAGGAAGGGTACTTGACTTTGTGAGTATCGTCGAAACTGTTGAAAATGACTACTCGATGCTGTGGCACATCTACTCACCTAAGGCTGCCGAATTGCGAATAGGGTGGGGGATTGTTTTACAGTTGACAAAGCATGACCCTTCCTCGCCGATGGCGAATGCAGGCAGTCGCCCCCGGACAAAGCTGACCTGCGCGTCTGCAAGTGCCACAAAATGAAGGCCAACGCGTATGGGCAGATTGGCCAGCACTACTTAATGTCCGGCATGCGTGGACGAGCGCTTGAGGCCTACCTGTCGGCCACCCAGTGCTCGCTGGACGTGGACGACGTCAAGAAGGTGCGCTGCTCAATTCTGTACATTACGTACTTCAAAACGACTATGAGTACAGTTAGCGCTAGATTCTTTACACTCAGTACGGTGAGGCTGCGCATATGATTGTGCGTTTCGGCTTTTCAACCATTCCGTACGTCGTATACCCAGTTCGGCGTTATGTGTGCTTAGGGCTGTCTGATTACGGAAAGACTGAAGGTGAGTAGGGGTATGCAAAATGAACTTTGATCATTTTCAACACCATTATTGCCGAGCATGTGGCATTTTTGTCTCGTTAGGTACTAGTGCTGCTATCAATATGCGCTGCAAGAGGAACCACAAAAACTTGATATGCAGAATAAATGTACAGCTACTACACATGTCGAGTACTCCACACTATAGGCCTAAAAGATAATTAATCACGTCTTATTTAATGATAAGCCACTATGATACGTATCTAACACGACAGGCTACAAGAGAAAAACGAAAATAAGCAGCGTCTGACACAATTTTACAGAAGGAAATTAGTTACAGTCTTTTACAACGCAAAAAAAAAATCACTCGATATTTTGAAGATCATGCTGCCAACTTGGGACCACGGCTGAGCCCCTGACTGTAGTGAATGTCATTGTGCGCAGGCCGAGGAGTACCTCGAGAACAGCGAGACTGTTTTCAAGACTTCCAGCTGGGAGAACGTGGATGAGCGCTACCTCAAACTTAAGCGCATCGCGATCAGCCGCATGAGGGCGACCGTGAGTGAGAGTTAACTTACATAGTCACGAATTAGACGAAAGTTTGTCCGGTCAGATATCATGATGATGATGTAGAGGCAGTCACTGACTAAGTCAGGAAAAAAAAAACATGTGTTTCGGAACCCATACAGGTTTCTTTTTCCCACAAAGCAGGCCGTATGTTACTTGAGGGTCGACGATCCTTAAGCTCGAGGCTTGTACGTTGGCGTTGTTGGCCGTAGCCACCACTGACGATGAGGATGATGCTGATTTTTTCTGCCATTAAGGAACATAACGTGGAAAGTACCCACTGAACGCAGTGACGACGACGTTGAAGATTATCATGATCGCGGACAACAGCTGGCTTGTGCAGTAGACAGCGTTTTAATATGTTCTACGGTGCATTTCGTATCACCGGAAACAACCAGTAACCATGAGGGGAACGTGCCGAGACCTCGTCTTTGCCGACTTCAGGTTAGATCCGATACCACAAAGAGCAATAAGGAAGGCAAAACGAAATTCACTGCTCCACGCAACATACCAGTTATGACTAGAGACTGCAATATAGGCAAACGCCCATTTGATCTTTTGCATTCTTATCGCGGCATTTTAATAAATGAGCATGAATTATAGGTCAAGAAGTGCTTTTATGGTGCCTATATATGTGTGTTTTTGACGTTAGTGCTTGAATTTCTATTGGTTCCTTTTAAATGCCTATTGGTGAAATCAGTGACCATATGAACACTATTTAACCTCAAATTTTGAATTCGAGTACAGTTGAAGGTCGGTATTCATGTTCCTGGGCAAAATTGAGCACTCGAAACTCTACGTGGTGCAACCTATACTTCATCTCAGATTAGCCTCTACACATGTAATCACCCACATCGCGTCGCCTGCTCGGCGTGGTGTCCCCGGCTTCTTCACGCGGACATAGGGAACAGAAAGTACTTTTGTGCAGTTGCAAGACGATGGAGAACGAACGCGAAACCATGGAGTTTATAAGGAGAGAGTAGAGTGTAGGTTTAGAAAATCAGTTGTGCACATGGTTTTTGTTTCATTTGTAATTTATTTCATGAAGGACGCTTCAAGAGGCCACATGAGAAATTTTAGCACGACACTGCACGACGTTGTGTCCCCATCGAAAGGCTTTTCACCACAATAATTTTTAATTGGTTCATTACTAGCGCCCAAATCATGATGCGAGGAGGTGTGCTGAAACACTTGCTCCTCACCCATCGTAAACTTTGAGAGACAAATTCTTCCCCTGCCCTCTTCTGTATCTGAGCGACTCGCATTGAAACTGAAAAGCGCGCCCTTTTCGCAAACGGAGGCTGTGCAATGATTGCAGTGACCTTTGTGCGCCCGGTAACTTCAACATAATCGTTCCGATAAAACCCAAACACTAGCCAAGACGTACGATTTACCCCACTGCAAGGACTCGCTCCCTGGATTTCGTGCCGACTGGTTGTGCCTCCGCGATCTCCGACAACAGCGCAACTCCGTCTGACCGGGCTCGCCCTACGCCATCTCCTGACGCCGACAATACCTCTCGCCGAGTGGTGCCCCGTCCTCGGACTCCTGTGACCGTGCCCATCTTTCTTATCTCTTCCTTACTTCCATCGTTTTTTGTCGTTCACTGTCCCTGCGCCTCGCTCTCTCCTTCCTTTCCCTATCTTTACCTTTTAGTCCCTCCTTTACCCCCCCCCCCCTTGTGAGCTACTCTTCAGGTGTTCTCCCCCTGAGAAACACTTACGGGGCTCACTTTTCTCTTCTTTTCATTTAAAATCACTCACACACACTGCAAGATAGGGGTGCGCGATCGAGCATACACCCTCTTATTCTCTACGCGGGCCAAATTACGAGTGAGAGATGAGAGCCGCCGCGCGCTCACTGCGCCATCTTGCTCATAATGCTGAAAACACGATAATTCTCCCTCTTGAGATTCCAGCCAACAGTGGTAAGTGGTAGATATGAATAGCTTGCCGTTTTAACGTTGCAGGAGGTACTTCTCGGTGGCTCGGTGGTTAACGCCTCGCATTCACGACGCGGAGATCATCCGTTTGATTCCGCGCGCCGTAGTTTTATTTCTGGGATTTTTCTTTCTTTCTTGCGTTTTCAGATATATCAATACGCATACATATACGGTGCATGACGCCGGCGTCGACACTGACGCCGGCGGCGAAATCCAGCCGAGAGCGTCCACATAATCATTATCGCAATAAAAAAGCTACATACGGCTCTTACCTGCTTAGTGTGAACAAGGAATCCGGATGAGTCCCGCAACGTCTGCGTTTTCTCACCTTGACCTGGTCAGTGACCGATCTACATCCTCATGAGAGTGAGCTTATAGGGAAAAGAATAGCTTAATAATTATTACTAAGACTGCCCATCTGTGGCTCTGACTCGACTTAGTGGAGTCGAAAAACCTTCATTTCGAGAAATTTCGGGCCTCCTAGGCCCGCTGGGTCTCCGCCCTCCCCCCACTCAACCACTCTACACTCAAACGTTCCCCCCCCCCTTTCTTTAATGTTATATTTCACAGCTTAACGCTAAATGCTGCTGCTATGAATTATTACAATTCCTAAAGGGTCATTCCATGAGGGTATCACCAAAGCGTATATTCACCAACAGCGTAGCCAGGAGGAGGGGGGGGGGGGCTGTTTAAACATCATGCCGCATGTATTTTATGCTTGATTTGTACGAGTGTGTGCAACATGTGCATCAAAAAATTGAACACAATGGTGGGGGAAAGTTGAATATTTAATCTTACCCCCCTGGCTACGTCACTGATATTCACCACGAAACGTGACACGAGAATGCTCTTTCAGTTTCAGATGGCCCATTGAGAAAGTGGTAAAAGAAGAAAAACCGTGCCTCCGTGTTGTTGCGGTTGCTATTGCTGTGAAAGAAACATTTAGTCTATCTCCCAGAGAAATGAAAAATGTCTCTAATAGCGCTCATATTTAATTTAATTCATTCTGCATTTCACAAGGTAGCGACTGTAATGGCATTCATATTTATTATTTTTTATTTTACGAGACAACCTTATTTTTTGAAGAGGTAAACGCATTTGCAAACGAAGGTCGTAAGAAATTGCGGAATTCCATATGAACAGGCTGTAGCGGGACATCCTGCTGCATCCCTCACAAGTAAATTTAGCATGCTATATAAATGGAGACTAAAGCGCAAAACACTTTTCACGTATTTGTAAAATACCATTTCACCATACCAAACACAGCACTCTTTCCGCGTCACGACGCCTCGTAAGCTAGAAAACCAGCGAACAGAAACTGTGGGTGGAGACGCCCACCTGACATTTCCGCACCAAACACTGTGACGTCATAGAAGTTTTAAGGTGTCTACTGCGTGCTACGTATCTTCTAATTGATAAAATTGAAATACATTGTAATCTTTCGGTGCAATATTTAGCATACGAGGTTTCAGAAAATTCCGCCGAGCCAATGTCACGAAAGTAGAAAAAATACATTGTGGAATTTCTTGCGTCACGCCCGCAAATCGTGGCGCGAAATTGAAAAATGACACTCTGAAAATGAAAACAAAAATGAAACCTTGATTTTCTCCTCTGATACTGAACTTATGGCAGTGAAACTTACGACATTAGAGTTCTCATAGTGCAGTCTATCAACCTAAAACAACTCATTGCTTTTTTTTTGGTCCCTTTAATTAATGAAAAAAAAAGGTGTTTGCATGTTTTGAGGGGCATTCATTTTCGTTGCTCAGCAGCAAGTTTCTGACCATTTTTGTGGTTTCTTACTTTCGCATGCAATAAATATCACTCTGATGTGGTATGTCTCTCTGAACGCACTAAATTCCCTTTCCACCTCTACCACCGCGTTCTTCGAAATTGCGCGATGTTTCCCGTGACCGCGGAAGCCGTTTTCCTTCGCAGATCCAGCTTTATTACGGCAATATCGACGCGTCGCTGCAAGAGATCAAGCTGGCGTTCCAGTGGCTCGGACGGAACATCCCGAAGGACTACCGCAAGAACGCCTCAAACTACGCTCTGCGCGTGGTCCAGTGGTACGTGGAGTGTCTTAGCCGGCGTAACGATGACAGAGCGTGTGCGTTAGATCAACCTGTGTGCTGCTTCGGTACTGTATAAGTCATTGAGACAATTTGGTGTTCTATTCGCCGAGGTGTTGTTGTAAGTCTCGAATTAGCCCTAGCAGGCTGATTCTCTCGACAGTGACACAGCGTATGCCGACGCAGCAGTTTGGGATCCGTAGTTCGAACTGATCTCGACATCCTTGCCGATTAGTCTTAATGAGTGATATGCGGCTATAGCAGCACCTTAGAAGGCACTTGTATAGAAATGGCAACTTCATGAAAGCGCCGCCACTTAACTTAATAATCTGAAAGGTGTATATATCTAGTATGTGACATTTCAGGCCCCTTTCAGTAGCCAATACATTTTTATATATTTGTTCCTTTTAGCTTTGTAGGTGCTATTTTATTTCACTTCGTTTCTCCTTTATTTCACTGAGTTGAGGTCTTGACTATGCTAACGACAATCGAGACCTTGCCAGAGCAAACCTTTAAAAGTGATTCACTATTACCTCTTTCGTGTACCCTCATTCACACCGAAGGCGGTGCGGCTTAGCGGGCTTTTCAAGGCGGCGAATGCGTGAACCGGGTCAGACCGCATGCCTCCTTCGGCTGGCCGTGCGGCAGAAAAGGCGGGCATCTCGCGCTTATGCGCATATTGTCGCTTGGCAATGCTTCTTTCTCCCAAAGGTACACCACCGCGCCTCCACCGCGTGACGTTCTGCTTAGCTGCGGCAAAGCGGCGAGCTTCGGTGGGCGGCAAAATATTTGGTTGGAGAGCGATTGGCCTTGCCGCCTAGTTTTCTTCCCACTTTCGCTGCCTAGAAAGGAAACTTGGCCCGTTTTCCACGTTGCCGCCTCGCCGCTTTGGCTGCCCTACCTTCGGTTTGAACAAGCCTTTATATGAATCACTCCTGCTACGGTATCAACAATTTATTTGATGTCGCCTCAAACTAGGTACACATAGTGAACGGGATCAAAGTTATCGTCATGTAATGTATTCAGAAAAGCATGTGCATTCCCGAGGTGCCTTTTGTTTTAGCATGTCAGTGTACTGTCGTGGAGGCCATGCGGCAGGCTGGCTTATGTTCTTGCGCTACGCTGAAACCATGGTCCCCATAAAAAGTGCGGGTAGGAGGGGGACGCAATTTTGGTCCTGCATCCTTCATTACTTTGCGAACAGCACATGGAAAATGAATGTATTGGTTAAGAAGACCACGAAGGACAGTGAAAACGTCTTGTGTACAACATTATGACAATGACATTTTAGCAGTGACGTTATCTGTATTGCCTGTGATGTACGGCAGTAACACAAGCTAGTTAAAGAAATCGCTAGCTAAAGAAATCACTGTAATCCATTACCGTAGTCTCTATAACGGAGCTTTTAGTTTTTGTGTCTATTTATTTCCTTACTTTTCCATTGGGTTAAAGGCCATGAGGGGTTGCGGGGGTTCGCGGTCAGACTACGGTGCCATATCTAAAATTTGATATATGCTCAGGACTTTCTTGCTCATCCTCGAGTCACTGCAAAACATACGCGCAGGCAAAAATCCTTATCAGCTGAAGTAACTTTTACAGAATAATTAGGTTCCATCAATGAAGCCTCGGTTGTCAGTTTAGGCCAGACCCGTAGCCAGAATTTTCGTAAATACTTGATAGGTAAAAATACCTATCATTGTTATTTTTAACACCCCCCGCCTCCCCTCTATCTACGGGTCTGCAGTAGGCGCTTGTATTGTCGCCTTCATGTGTCGTAATTTCCCATTCGCAGTTTATCAACACGCTGCCAAGTAATCTAGAAATCAATCCTTATAAGCAGTTTGAACGTATATCCTTCGACCTGAATTTATGTTGCCCGAACAATATTTCAGCTGCCGCGTGGACGAAATCGAGGAGGAGGAGTTCTGCCTGAACACGGCGGCGCGCGTGTTCCTGAACCGGCGAGACCCCCGTGTAGCCCTGGATGTGTCCAGCCACTTCTGGGAGCTGGTCACCTGCCGAAACGCGCCGCTATACAAGGTACTTCCGTGTGAGGCTGAAACGCGCCGCTTCCTTTGAGGCAGTAACCAGTTAATGGTGACCTGGAATCGCGGCTTCATTTTTCCTCGACAACTAAACAGACGACACGTCGGTATGAGCAGTGCCTTTTCTATAACGCGGTCAGGTATAGAAGTAACTGGTATGTATTAGAGCGAAAGGACGTATCTGTTGTTGAAGTGAGGGCCAACCTTTCTAAACACTCGAGATAAGTCACACGCAAACTCTAACGTCCAACTATAAATGTGCTATGGGGTTTTATCGCGATAAGGTGAAATAGCTCGCTTCGCAGAAATTCCGGTGTTGGTGGTTATGAGCGAGAAATCATCTTATGCGTGACTAAATAATTGAGAACGACTGAAATACGAAACGAAAGAAATGAAAATAAATGATAAAAATCTGGGTCCGAGTGAGGACACCGAACGAGGGTCGTTTGGTTCCGGGTGGGGATCGAACCCGGGTTGTTTGCGTGGCAGGCGAGTGTTCTACCACATGGCCACGCGTCTGCTTCTTATTACAGTCAAGAGAGCTTCCTCTGCTCGGAAATACAGCGAATGTAGCTTTCATGCTTTACAAACACACGCGTCCCCTATGCATTTTTTGCAACATAAATATTGCAGTAATACTGCGTTGTACAAGCGCCCATTTCCAGCGGGCGTCAGTACATGTGATTGTCATATTGGAATTGTCGTTTAAGCCGGTCACCCACTACAAAAGGCACACACGGCACTGTGCAAGTCGTGGGTGCACAGCAAGTTCGAAAAGGTTTCATGAACTAAGTGTTTAAAGTATACGCTCTAGGAACCGGCTTTCGCAGATCTCGTTCAACTCCTAAAGGCAAAGCTTTAGGGCCCCCTTATTTTTTTTTATTGTGCGTGCATATTTTCTGCGTTCTGGATATGTTTTTTATTTAATACCAATTGTATCAATCTCCGGCACACTTGAATTTCGAATGGGAGCAGGGAAGCAGTAGTCGGTGGTTCACCAAAGTAGGACCTTTTTGTTTGTTTCTTTTTGTTCTTGCTTGTTATGATGGTTGGCGGGGATTTCAATTTGTAGCTATACAGCGGTACTGGTAGCTCCAAAGGAGAAAAATTGGGAAGGAACATGCAATGCATACATTAGGGTATATACCTATGGTATATTCTTTAATAGTGCTAGACGGAAGGTTGATTCAGATTAACGTCGAATATCTTTCGGGACCCATGTGAGCCGTAACAAGACCAAGGTAAATGTGGGTAAAGGTCGCTGAAAGGTACTTCGACGATACTACTCACTATGATAAGAGGACGTGAACAAATAAGTGAACTATATGTGTGCAATGGCTGTCGAGTGTCCACAGAACCATTGCGGATGATCAACTAAAACGGTCTCTTAACAGACATCATAATGACAGTGTCGGTCAATGCTTGAGAGCCTGAACCTGTCACCACAGTTGAAATGGTTTCTTTTCGTATTTCTTAATGGCAGTGTTGTATGCATTATCGAAAAAATAACTGAATACAGCACTCGTTATGATAAATAAAAAAAGATCGCGTCAAGGCTGTTTCACATGCCACGATTTCAGCGAAAAAAAATCGCTCCGTTCGCTCAAATCGCTCTGTTCGCAACCGCCGCTAACGGCGGTTTCGTTTTACATGGACCGCGAAAGATTCACGATTTTCGCTCTCCGACTGGAGCGGCAAGCAACGTTTTTGTTTGCCACTGTTCTTTGTGCAGACAATGTAGAATTTTTCAAATATAGGGTAACAATCTGTGCGTTATAATATGAAGTTTTCATGAACGGTAACAAAGATACCTGTGTTTTCTCATTTAAGAACACTTTCCAATCTAACTCCATTTTAAAATGCGCATCAGTGGTCATTACCAAAACAAACACGTCGACGCAACTTCAACAGCTTGGCTGGCCCGGCCCTATTTTGACGGGTTCCGAACAGATATCCCTCCCGCCGCTGCGATCAGAGCGAATATTTTTAACATGATTGAAGCTCGCCGTGGACTGCTGCGGCGGGAGCGAACTACCATTTTTTTCACTGCGAGCGAATTCACAGACTGAAAATCGCTACATTTTTGTGTCATGTGAAACGGCCTTTACCACCCTGAGTTACCCAGAAAGATGTTAACTTGTCATCATTACAGCATACCGAAAAAAAGTAACAGACGTTAGTAATTTTTGGTCGTTACTCCATGAACAGAAATCTTTAACCGGTGTGTCTTCACCGCAGGACCTAGTATAGCAACTTTATGAAATTCATATATGTTCATATGTATCTCACATCGAAGCTTTGCACCAAACAAGTCTTACCAGAAATATAAATTTAGTGAAAATTTCTACAAACGTGCTGTAGCTTGGCCAAACTGTAGGGGCCTAAAGTTGACTGTTTAGCTATGTGATCGTTTCAGACTCTGATCGTTTCTGAAGCGACAAAAGAGCGGACAGTTAGTCAACGCTAACGAGGCATGCTGCTGACGAAAAAAAATATTTCTAAACGCAATCAATATATTGATACGTACTCACCTCTATGCACGCACATCGGTGATATGACTGCGTGCAATTGACGCAACAATTGTCAACACTAGTTCTCTTCATTTCTCTTCTCCGTCGTGCAGAAGATGCCAGCTATATCGCTGGTCATCGAGAGCAGCCACTACGTGCACATCGCTTACAAGAAACAGAAGAAACTCGAAGACACAGCCATCAAGGAGTAAGACTTTATGCACCAGCCTGGCTGTTTTTTTTTTATTTTTGTCCGTCTCGTTGTCGTACAACAGGGGTCTTGAGGACACTGCCCACGTGCCTCTTGTTAGGGGTCCGACCATCACAAGAATGTAACGGACGCCCTCATAAGGTCATCCCATCTATCTTTTTAATTCGAATGCATTTTTTAGTTGGGGCATGTCAGGCGTCTGTCGGTGTCCGCACGCCGGCAGGTGTTATCCCTCCGCTCTATCTCCCTTTCTCATAGCAACAGCAGCGGGTGCGCGCTTATCCTCGCCCCTAGCAACCGGAGCAGGAGATGCGGGCAGAGTAGCGGAGAGTGAGTGGAGAGGAGGAGCGCGCTCACGTCGCGGAAGCTCGGCGGAGCTCCCGCCCGCATGTGTTGAGAAAGTGTAGTAGAGGGTAGGGGCAGTGCCTCGCCGCTCCTTCTCTTCTAATAGTACTACACAGAAGGTTGACCTTGATTAACGTTGAATCGGGACCCATGTGAACCGTAACAAGAGCATGGCAAATGTGGGTAAAGGTCGCTGAAAGGGACTTCGACGATACTACTCATTATGGTAACATGACGTCAACAAATAAGTCAACTGCATCTGTGTAATGTCATCTGTGTAACCATGGCAGATGGTCAACTGAACCTGTCTCTTAACAGACATCATAATGACGGTGTCGGTTAATGCTCGAAAGCGTGAACCTGTCACTACAGTTAAAATGCTTTCCTTTCGTGTTTCTTAATGCCAGTGTTGTATGCGTTACCGAAAAAAATAACTAAATGCAGCCCTCGTTATGATAAATGAAACAAAAAAGATCACGTTAAGACAGTTTCACATGCCGCGAGTGCTGCGAAAAAAATTCGCTCCATTCGCTCTAATGACTTTGTTCGCAACCACCGCTAATGGCGGTTTCGTTTCACATAGACCGCGAACGATCCGCGATTTTCGCTCTGTGACTGGAGCGGCAAGCAACGTTTTTTTTTTTTAAGACGATAGTATCTTTTGCCAGCGTTCTTTGTGGCAGACATTGTAGAATTTTTCAAATATAAGGTAACAATCTGTGCGTTATGATATTAAGTTTCCATGAACGGTAACAAAGATACCTGTGTTTCGTCATTTAAGAACACTTTCCATTCTAACTCCATTTTAAAATGCGCAGCAGTGGCCATTACGAAAACAAACACGTCGACGCAATTTCGACAGCTTGGCCGGCCCGGCCCTATTTTGACGGGTTCCGAACAGATATCGCTCCCGCCGCTGCGATCAGAGCGAATATTTTTAACATGATTGAAGCTCGCCTTGAGCTGCTGCGGTGGGAGCGAACTGCCATTTTTTTTTACTGCAAGCGAATTCGCAGACTGAAAATCGCTACTTCTTTGTGTCATGTGAAACAGCCTTTACCACCCTGAGTTACCCATAAAGATGTTAACTTGTCATCGTTAAAGCATACCGAAAAAAGTAACAGACGTTAGTAATTTTTGGTCGTTACTCCAAGAACAGAAATCCTTAACCGGTGCGTCTTCGCCGCAGGACCTAGTATAGCAACTTTATGAAATTCATATATATTCATATATATCTCACATTGAAGCTTTACACCAATATATATTTTAGTGAAAATTTCTACAAACGTGCTGTAGCATGGCCGAACTGTAGGGGCCTAAAGTTGACTGTTTAGCTATGTGATCGTTTCAGACTCTGATCGTTTCTGAAGCGACAAAAGAGCGGACAGTTAGTCAACGCTACCTAAGCGTGCTGCTGACGCAAAAATATTTCTAAACGCAATCAATATATTGATACGTACTCACCTCTATGCACGCACATCGGTGATATGACTGCGTCCAATTGACGCAACAATTGCAAACACTCGTTCTCTTCATTTCTCTTCTCTGTTGCGCAGAAGATGCCAGCCATATCACTGGTCATCGAGAGCAGCCACTACGTGCACATCGCATACAAGAAACAGAAGAAACTCGAAGACACGGCCATCAAGGAGTAAGAATTTATGCACCAGCCTGGCTGTTTTTTTTTATTTTTGTCCGTCTCGTCGTAGAAGAGGGGTCTTGAAGACGCTGCCCTCGTGCCTCTTGTTAGTGGTCCGACCCTCACAAGAATGTAACGGACGCCCTCATAAGGTCATCCCATCTATCTTTTGAATGCGAATGCATTTCTTAGTTGGGGCATGTCAGGCGTCTGCCGGTGTCCGCACGCCGGCAGGTGTTATCCCTCCACTCTATCTCTCTTTCTCATAGCAACAACTGCGGGTGCGCACTTATCCTCGCCCCTATCAACCGGAGCAGGAGATGCGGGCAGAGTAGCGGAGAGTGAGTGGAGAGGGGGAGCTAGCTCTAGCATGTGAGGGCGCTCGCGTCATGGAAGCTCGGCGGATCTCCCGCCCCGCGTGTGTTGAGAAAGTGTAGTAGAGGGTAGGTGCAATGCTTCGCCGCTCCTTCTCTCTGTGTGTTCTCTCTCCTCCCTGTGCCTCACTCTCCCGCCCACTCGCTTGTACTTGTAATCTCACGTATTGGTTTGAGTGCGCCATGTTGGGACGTTAACCTTTGTGTTTTGTATATTTAACAACTAAACGAGCAGTGTCACCATAGATGCATACGCATGAAAACGGTTATGTTGGTGCATCCGCCATTTTATAGAATCCATGTCACTTTACACCAAGACAAGAAAACATGGACATAACGGCCAATGCAAGATGGCGGCATCCAGATGTATAACATGTAGTGAAACGCACACCTCACTCTCGACTGTTTACTGGCTGATGATTGTGTACATAACTTGTTGCAGTACAAATCGTCGTCTCGTCATTAATTTATAAAGTTACTACACTTTGTACCCTCGCGCGAGAAATGCATTCGCATTTCCTCATTTCTTCACGATCTTCTCGGGGAGAGGGCATTTTTTATTTTTCTTAAAAAATACGTTAATGAGTTGCAGAGGCATGACTCTTCTAAAGTGTATCTTTGTTCGCGAATCACTCCTTGCAGTCACCACGTGTTGATACAGAACCGTGAAGCAAGTAATTGCACATTTTAGAGTGGGCACCTACATTTTAATTACTTTCTAGATAGGTAACAATGTGTACCTAATATAAGATGTGAAAAAGAACTCTTCAAATGCAACGTACGAACAACTTGCGGTAACTTGACACTTACATTAACGAGCCACTCTCCTGCAGCTGCATCCACGCTCTGGAGGTAGAGAAGCACCCTCGAGTGAGTGACTTGGTGGCTGTGCTCAACACGCTCATCAAGATCGTCGAGGTGCGCTTCTTGCGCACTGAAATCGCCTCAGCAGTGGACGTGGGTAAGCACACGCGTGCAAGCTCTAGCGTTAACCACGTGTCATCACCATCACCTCCATCATCACCATATATCATCATCGTCATCATCAGCCTGATTACATCCACTGCAGGACAAAGGCGTCTCCCATGTTCACCCAGCCAACTCGGTATTGTGCTTGCTGCTGCCATTTTATACCAGCAAACTTCCTAATCTCGTCTGCCCATCTAACTTCTGCCCCTCACTCGATCACCTTCTCTTAGAATCCAGTCTGTGATTTTTGATAATCAGCGGTTATCTTGCCTTCACACTACGAGCCCTGTCCATGCCGATTTCTTCTTCTTGATTTCGACTATGATGTCCTTAACAACCATTTGTTCCCTGATACACTCTGCACTCTTCTTGTCCCTTCATCATCATCATCATCATCAGCCTGACTACGTCCACTGCAGGACAAAGGCCTCTCCCATGCTCCGCCAGTCAACCCAGTCCTGCGCTTGCTGCTGCCAATTTATACCCGCAAACTCCTTAATCTCATCTGCCCACCTAACCTTCTTTCTCCCCCTAACCCGCTTCCCTTCTCTGGGAATCCAGTTAGTTACCCTTAATGACCACCGGTTATCCTGTCTACGCGCTACATGCCCGGCCCATGTCCATTTGCTCTTCTTTATTTCAGCTATGATATCCTTAACCCCCGTTTGTTCCCTAATCCACTCTGCATTCTTCTTGTCTCTTAAGGTTACACCTACCATTTTTCTTTCCATTGCTCGCTGCGTCGTCCTCAATTTAAGCTGAACCCTCTTTGTAAGTCTCCAGGTTTCTGCTCCATAGCTAAGTACCGGCAAGATACAGCTGTTATATACCTTCCTCTTGAGGGATAGTGGCAATCTACCTGTCATAATTTGAGAGTGCTTGCCGAATGTCCCTTAAGGTTATACATATCATTTTCATTTCCATTGCTCACTGCGTCGTCCTCAACTTAAGTTCAATCCTCTAGGTTTCTGCTCCGTAGGTAAGTTCTGGCAAGATGCAACTTTTACATACCTTCCTTTTGACCACGTGTACTGCTCCATCAAATAACGTTTTCTTCCTAACGCACCTTTAACATGACGGGTGGCTGAGCTGAGCAGACGCGCATAATGCATGTGCGAACATTGACTCGGTGTTTTTTTGCAGGGTACGAGGCCTTCCGCATCGCCCTCAGCGTCCACTACACCTCCATGCTGCTCAAGATCTTGCCGTACCTGGCACAAACGCTGTTGTACAGCAAGAAGTAAGCATTGCTCACATTGCTCTCGCTGCAAAGTGAGGCAATTACTGACACTGACGTCCGTTGCGCATTTCTGTTTGCAGTCACAGCAAGTGCCGTGAAGTGCTGAGCCACCTGCGCCACGTGGCCGAGGTTGCCGAAGACACCGTCGGCATGGCACTCTACTACGGTGGCCTGGCCGAGCTGCTTGTGCACCAGTGTGAGCGCTGGATTTTTTTTAGTACCCACTGTTTACGCGATAACAGTACGTTTTTCTGAGCGCTTTCAATACTTTGCATCTCGTCATAGAAGCGCCAACAAAGTTATTTGTAAGAAGAGAAGGGTACGCTAGAGGTGCCACCTTCAGCAGAAGGCAGCCCATCCGCCACATTTGCAAAGGCGCACGGGCTAGCAGTCCGCAACGCTCTTTTTCCTGCTAATTGAACATTTTTTTCTGAAACTTCCACTGAGAACTTCGTATGCAGAACAATCAAGTCTGAACATGAAACTATCGCGGCACATGCAGAAGCCGCTGTTAACTCCACATGCTAGGCGTGGTCAGCATTTGCAATTTTCGGGCGAGAGTGCTTGCACTTACGCATAAAAAATTTTTAAAACAGCGAAATCCAAGGTGCCATAATTGTTCGTTCAATTACATTTAGTGTCCAAGTAATCATGAGTGCGAGGTGGGCATTTCATTATCTCCAACGACAAGCTGACTCTCGATCGCTAAAGCTTACTCCAATTTAAAGGAAGACTCAGGCTTAAGCTGAGTGCGTACGAGAAGCGTCGTCGGGAACGTCCATAAATTTTGAGTATAGGCCGTTTTTATACAAAGCGCAAAGGGTCCGAGCGCAATGCCGTTTTTTTTTCGCATTTTGCCAACAGAGACAAAAGTGTCGCATGTGGGGGCATCAGAAATTTTGGTCGTAAACTAGCATAGCTTCATTGCAATATACACACACAACTCACTAGGACCGTCACAATTCACAATCGTTTGCTCACAGAGCAAGTGAGCGCAGTTCACAGTGTGATGAAGCCGCCGCAACATAACATGACGTAGCGAAGGCTCCGTGTATAGTGTATCACACTAAGCAGTGACGTCAGCCGTTCCCTCACGCTCTTCTACAATGGTGCACAAGTTTGTAGTAACGACGCTGTGGTGTAACTGAACAGATGAGTGAACTGTTAAAAAGGTGCGAACACCACAAATGCTTTGCTCCCGTCTCTAATGGGATTTAAGCTATGTGCTTTGGAGAGTGTAGATGCGCTAATTAATGTTACCGTACTGCACAACACTGCGCTTGAACTTAACGCACTCGCAAAACATAAGTTACCTATGTTCACCAAAGTTGAATCAATCTGTCTAGTTCTGTAGCTTCGAATCTCCCCTATAACACAAACTCAATTAATGGTAATTTGATATGCAGACAATTTATCGGCCTTTTTTATGTAGTGAACCTGTGCTACTATCTTGTATTCATCATCCTTAGATCCCTTCATTTTGGTTTTATGGACAACCCTACTCGGTGGTCAAACTGGCTACTCCGCAGGGAACATTATGTCGCTATGCTATCGCAATAAAATGGGTTCTAGATTCACAGCGCAGCGTGGCCTGGAAAGTGATAGTTTCAGAGTCTTGAACATAGGTCAGCAAATTCCCTTATGAGCAGACTCCCTCGGACTTAGTCAGACTCGGATCGAGCCATGATTTTGAGTCTGAGTCCGGGTGAGTAATATTTTTGTGAGTGTGACTCCGGTTGAAGAAAATTTTGTGTGTGCGAGTCCGAGTGAGTTCGGCTCAAGAAAATTTTGATGAGTCTAAGCTCGAGTGAGTACAAAGCGCAAAATATGTTTCTCGAGTGATTCTGAGTAAGATACACTTTTTTTTGCCACCTTTTAAGGTCCTGCGTAGTCATCTTCAGCATCACTATCAGCCTTATCTGGATTCACGTCTATACTCACGTCTACTTACAAGTATTCCAAAGTAGTTTCCTTCATACACTGCTTCAATATTTATTCATTGTAGGCGTGAATTACGTAGGGGGTATTTCTTGACATCCCCTCACCAAAAATTCCAGGGAAGTTCTTGATTATTATATCTTATGCCGTCATCTCTTCCAATAAAAATGACATCACTGGTTTGGAAGCACTCGAGAACTCGTTTTCGAAGATATTATATGTGAAACAGCACCGAGAAGAGCACCGATTACGTGAGATATTGGCGTTGAAGAGCATTGACACCATGGTTGAAGAAGCTAATTCTAGGCTGACGGACTCGTGAGTCGACTCACTTGGACTCGCTCAGACTCGAATCGAGCCCTGAGTTGGAGTCTGAGGAGTCATTGTCAGTAATGCTTCGGTAAGTTTGAGTGCTGGTGAGTCCAGTTGAAGAAAATATTCGTGAGTGCGGGTCCAAAGAAAACCCGGCTAAGGACTGCTTTCGGGACTCTGAGTCCGAATGAGTTTAAAGCTCAAAACATATTTCATGGGTGAGTCAGAGTGAGCCTCACAAGTTTTGCAGACCTAAGGTCTTGAATAAGGGCAGAAGCAGCGGTTATTTAGAAAAGATGGTTACGGATTTAGAATACTCGGTGTGTTTAGAAAAAGTTGTTGATTTAGACTACATCATACTCTTCGATAAAAAATATGCCGTGAACGAGCTCACGAAGGGCTATCCGCTTTGGACAAATAGGCCTCGATAATACAAGGGCTATGCATTGCTCTTGTCAGCTCAAAATTGTGAAACAATATCGAACACTGAACTTTCTTGACCGGCGGCTCTCCACTGTGCATTTAAAAAAGCATGATTTAGAGCAAAATGCCACCGGTGCATGACGTGCAAGAGCAAGCCCAACTCTTAAGCAGCACGTGAGGGGCGCTATTTTGTTCACCATTGTTATTTTAGGGGTGAAGCTCCTTATAGCGGCACCCGTTCGTCCCTCGATGTAGTAGTAGTCGTAGTGTGTAACCAGTACTACATTTTGACCTCCAAGGTGGTGCCGGTGAAAGAATTCTTCTGTGCGTTGTTGAACAATAAAAGATAGTGCTCAATGTACATGCCAATGGCTGCCAAGGAGGAATGAGAGACAGGAGCATTCGGCTTTTAGTTAACGCGCACGCTGAGAATTTTTTATTGTTCAACAACGCACAGAATACAAGAAAGGGTTGCTACGTTATACTCGCTGGGCGTAACCTCCTAGGTTTTAGAAAGGTTTAGCGAGTGTTGGGCCGCAGTGCCATGAATACAGTGAACTAGTATATACCATAAAATCGAGGAAGTAGACACGAAGCGCAAGGCGTAAGAAAGTGTGCGTGTGCCTCCTCTCATTCAGTCCTTGGAATGTCCGCTGGATGGTGGTGCTTCTATATGAGGAATATATGATGAAAAGATGCGAGATGGTGGTACTTGGAGTGTTGAATAGGTGGACGAACGGACACACAGACAGATGCATGGACGTACGCACGGATGGCTGCACGGACGGATGGATGGACGCAGCTGGGAGCGGATGCATGGACGAAAGCAGGGACGGACGCAGAGATGAACGTGCGGACGCACGAACAGACGCACGCATGTACGGGTGAATGGACGCATGGGTGGCCACACAGACGCACACATGCATGGATGGACGGAAGCAAGAACGAATGGACGGAGGGATGCTTCGCCTCACTATCCATCATTCACTCCGTGGATATGCTGCTATTTCTTTGAAGCTACCGTGCACCTGTTTCTGTGGGATGAGTGCCTCGGCGAGCACTCGTTTGGAAACGCTGGCTTAGACGCCGTAAAATCTATGAGCATAATGAGTGCTGCTCGAATGCTCAGGACCATTCATTTCGTTTCGATGGCTGGCGTCTCCTCGTTGTGAGGACACGAACGCATGCAAAACAGACATGGAGGCGCAACGAGATGCAGGCCGCATCTCGTTGCAATTCAGGGGGGATGAAAAAGACGCACGCATTCCCTTTGTGCGTCTCATTATTTATCTGTTTAAGCAACAAAATGCACAAACTACACATGCCGTGTGAAATAATATTCACCATGTCACGTGCTATACTGTTGGCGACGTCAGAGTACAGTCGTCTACGTAGAGCACTGACGTCACAGCGCTGCCGTCTACGTAGGGAGATTGTGTCGTCCACGTCCTCTCTTCATTGCCTATCCTCGCGCCCGCGAAAAAGGAAGCTGCGTTCATCTTGAATTTTGACCCATTTCCGCGGTGCGTTTCATTGCAAAGTTCGGTAGACGTGGTATATATATGTGGGGTTTAACGTCCCAAAACCACCATATGATTATGAGAGACGCCGTAGTGGAGGGCTCCGGAAATTTAGACCACCTGGGGTTCTTTAACGTGCACCCAAATCTGAGCACACGGGCCTACAACATTTCCGCCTCCATCGAAAATGCAGCCGCCGCAGCCGGGATTCGAACCCGCGACCTGCGGGTCAGCAGCCGAGTACCTTAGCCACTAGACCACCGTGGCGGGGCCCGGTAGACGTGGTCGTGATTGCATTGCGCTCGCCAGCTCAAAATTGTGAAACCTGGTGAGGGACCCTTCAAAATCTTCGGATTGTTGCTCGAAATAATATTACCAGTGTCGAGAAACCTGAAACCAGCATTGTGAAGCTTGGGAACGCATCCAATATATTTTTATTGCCGTTAATTAAAAATACACTTTTGGTTTTGTTATTGAGGGGTGGCTTCTGTGACGTGTAAAATCAGTGTGACGTCACGGGAAGACTGCAACGGATGACGTACTACGGTACTAGTACAGTACGAGCAGCAAATCTGTCATCTGCTCATAGTGCACGTATGTTGTCGTCCAGTCACAGTGATTTCTGCGATTTTGGCTGCGCGCAGCTAGGACGCAAAGCCTGCAAATTCAGGAACTGTCTTCATTCGTCATGAAATTGTCTATTGCTATGAGGCTGACTTTCAGATGCTCAGTGACGAAAACCTCAATATAAAAAAAATATTTTATGTGTGTTGTCTGACTCCGATATGCGGAGAGTGTTGAGACTGTATGCCAAGGAAACGAAAAAAAAAGTCCCTTTCACGGTGCCTTTAAATCGTGTCCGTACACCTATATACAATATATATATATATATATATATATATATATATATATATATATATATATATATATATATATATATATATATATATAAACATGGCGTGTTCATAGAGGATGCAGTCGCCGCGGCGTGGCAAATTTTGATCTGAAGAGGGAGCCGGGAAGGTTGACGTGGTCCAGTGTGATTTTAGGCTAGGTATGCCAAAGTGTAACATGGTGCTCAGTATACCATGCTCAGTATACTAAAGCGCAAAAAAAAAAGAAAAAAAGAGCCAGGCCTGCACGGAAAGCGCAGTCACAGAGAAAGCTCGAAGAGTGATGTTTCTAGAGCCCGGCCTATAGGCTCTCCTGGGGCAGCTAATGCTTGCAAAGTACCAGGCGAGTACGCCAAAGTTTGTTGTGGTGGCTTATGGTAATGAATATTTACGGATAAGTCCTTTGTAATAGGTTGAATGCATTCAACGACCCACCCGTTGAGCAATTCGTATTTTGTATTGCCAGGTTTCCGAATTCCCAATGTGTGAAGCCAGTTTAATATTTTACTATTCTACAATCAACGCTATATTACGCGCGCTTTGTTTTTTTCCCCGACATAACGCTTGTATAAGGTGTTTTGCAACAGAGTCTAAAGAACAGGCTTGACTCTGTGGTAGATAACTGGACCGCTGCGGAGAGGAACCAAGCTAGAACCCATTCCGTCCTGAATATATATATATATATATATATATATATATAATAGTATATATATCTATATATATATATATATATATATATATATATATATATATATATATATATATATATATATATATATATACATACATATAATATATATATATATATATATACATACATATATATATTACGGAAACTCGTGGTGGCAGCATTCGCTGTAAAATGTAGGGGAGGGGGGGGGAGGAGAGGGTACGGGAATGGCGTGCCTCACCTGGCCACGCCACTTGAAATAGAAATGTAGACCACGGTGGCTCGTTGTGCGGCGGCTCAGGGTATGTTGCAAGTCGTCGCATATAATCATCATATTAGAAGCGACATTGTCGCTTGGTCAGTGATAAGCCAATCCAGGAGGTAGGAAAACACCAAGTGATGTGCATTAGCGGCGCTCGAATCACCTCTGAATTCGTCCGTTCACTTCCCTTGCGCAGTTCAGAGGCCTGTTAAACAATGTGGCTTCCTTAGAGTGGCATACCTCATTTAATAACGTGCGTCAGCCAGATCACAGGAACATTAACATCATGTCATGTAAACTACCTACGACGACAAAATGCTGCAGTATTTTTTTGCCGAGACGATTTAATCGAATGCAAAATATTTATAACCCAAATACATGCTCTGCCTTTTAAAGATCTATAGCGTACATTTGTGTGGCTGCCAAGTGCGCGTGTAAGAGGTTCATGTATGTTTTATTTACCTTTTTTTCGTTCCGCTTGCACGAAATGTTTCTACACAGTAATCTTGTTTGTTCGAAACGTAGCAGCTAGTGCGTACCTCTGAGTGCGTACTATATTTCTATGTGCTAGTCTGTTTTGTTTGCCAGTTCAGAAGCTGCCCTGTGTTTGTCGTTACCAGGTGAGCCTCAAACTGCCAATTGCAGCCTGGTAATCCTAGCCGTACTCGCAACACAGTTACAAATTGAATTCAGTTAAAGGACAGTAGGGAGGGGGGGAGGCAGTGCAATTAACGCATCTATAACTCTGGCACAGTGGCTCACTGCGTCTTCCAAAACTGCTGGCCCCCGAGTGCATAACAATGGCCTCCACGATTACCATCATCTGCGCGCAATGCCCGTGCTAATTGCGGAGGCCATAGTGTAACTGAAGCGCTACGGAGCCTTTACGAAGTGTTGCAACCGGCTTTCGCCTTACTTTTCTTTCGCCCGAGTGTTATAGAGTGTCACGCGCTGCAGATCATTTGTTTAGTTCACATTGCATTTAGATGAGCAAACTTGTTTTTCTGATCTTTTGTATACCTTAACTACAATAGCGAATGACTGAAAGTTTGCGTTGTGCCGTGCTTTGAAACCTCGCTCGTTCGTGTCTCGGTCATAGCACAAGATGTTTGAGTGCGCTCTATTTCGACACCGCAGTCGGCATCGACGTGCCGGCACTGGACAACGTGCAGGAACTCTACAAGACGTGCCTGGAGTTCGCCATCAGCCAGTGCAGCAAGGCGCCGTACACGAACAACAATGAGATCGAGTTCTATCTCACGGCCGCAATGGCTATGTGGTAATTACAAGATCTATATTATATTCGCGTTCAGTATAGCCCGACAGCTACTAACTGTAAAACAAAGCCTTGGGGGAGAATTGAAACCATTTTGAGGGACCCCAAAGGGGACATTTTTCTTCTCCATGGTGTGGGCTATCAATGCCCTCCACAAACCCGAGGCAGACAATATGTATGAAATATTTTACTTCAATTTCGAGACCCGGCATCTGCAAGCCAGCCCCCAGCTATATCACAGGTCAACGCAGATCACTATAGGGTTGTGACGCCTGAGCCTTGCGTGTAGACTAAATCGCAGAAAGAGCTGTCAGAGTCGCTGGGCGACAAAATACTCAAGAATCTTTACGTTAACTGGCACTTGTATTTCATGAGCTGCAGTCTCCACGCGACATCACACTTGAGTTGACACGTCACTGCGGAGCCACTCCCTTGAGAACAAAACCTGAATCGCTTTTTTATGGTGGCTCTATTAAGATGTTCAAAGCGTTCACAAGTATACTACGAGTCTACGACAGAGAACTACTTGGCGTATAGTGACACATGACAGAAGCTCCGTCCACGTAGCTTTGGCTGTGCTGCCACAGAAAGTTGTCGCCGAGTATAGTTAATGATCGTGCTGGAGGATGTATTTCCAGCCAGCGCACCAGCACTTGTGAGCAAGACATCACGATGGTAAGGAGGCCGCTCTCGAGCCGCGTGCATAGAACGCCTCACAACTGGGCCCACTTGCACCTGTAACCTCTGGCGTATATTATTAGATTGTGTCAGGCTAAATTACTTGACGTAAAGCAGCGCCTCGTCTATTTTTTTTAATGTGGAGCATTTTATTGTCGCAACTACGCGCAAATCCGGCATCGACGGTGTCGTCTACATACTGTTATGCCAGCGAGTCCTCGTCAAACGTCCGTGCCTCTGAAAAAGGCAATCTGGGTCAAGGCCAGCCCGCAGTACGCCTGGCGTGATCAACTCGACGGCGTGAACACGCGCGGCGCCCCTCTGGCCCACGTGCAGTGAGTCAGCTGCGCACGTGACAGCGAGCCGGCGTCCTCGTGTCTGGTGGTCTGACGCATGGCGCGGCAACCCCATTGGAGGAATCTGCCCTGACGACCAGCGGCGCTTCTGATTGGACATTTTGGTTGGACCCGGTGTAAATAAAAGAAGCCCTGCGGCGCGTCGCGATCGGCGGTCCTGAGAGAGGAGTCCCCATGTCGGAGAGCCGACATGTGTGTGAGTCAGCGGTCTTAGGCGAAAGGCTGACCTATGTGTTAGAGAGGAGAGCTCGGCTCTTCGAGTCTCTGTCGGCCCCAGTGCCGAAATTGTAACGCCTCTGTATATATGCTGTACATAAACCTTATTTAACTCACCGTCGTCTCGTCCGCTCGTCTTATCAGCTCTGCGCAGAAGCAGTCGCGAGCTGAGAAACATACGCTACCAAACGGCTGGTGACTTTCCCGGCGGAGTTGAAAGCAGTGGCGCCTTCGGGGCCGTGTTGGCGTCGCCGTCGTTCGCAACAGTGGTGGCTTCGGCGGGATCGGCCGTCGTTCGCAACAGTGGTGGCAGCGGTGGGATCGGTCCGTCGTTCTCAACAGTGGAGGTCAGCGGTGGGATTTCGGAGGTGGCTTCGCAACAGTGGTGGCAGCGGTGGGATCCACGGAGGCAGATTCGCAACAGTGGTTGGCAGCTGCGGGATCGGCCGGCGTCAGCGACATCGATGCGGTGAGTGCCTGATGTTTTCCCCTCAGTTCACCAGACTACTCTAGCTCAGGTTGTAGTAGTTTAGAGAAGGGCTGTGTGAAGCATTAGAGTGAGCTTTGATCGTTTCAAGCAAAGTCGAAGTGCTTTGAAACCAAAGTTAATACGGAGGGGGTAAACACGGGAGAATGAAAAATTGCTTGCGCGTCTTGCTAGTTGACTTATAGTGGGTACGGCAAGTAAATTGTTAACAGGGGCAAACAGCAAGAGGCTAGTGTGAACGATGGAGAACCTTAAAGTGAAGGAACTCGTCGAAATTTGTGAGGAACTCGGCATTACTTTGGGCCGTGCGAAACGAAAGCAAGCGATCCTTGAGATCATGAAGGATGAGGGAGTGTCGGCTGAGGAAGTCGATGAGGCCTCGGTGGATATTAAAGCACGCCGTGAGGAGGCTGAAAGGCGAGAAGTAGAAGCTCGCGAACGTGAGGAGGCTGAAAGGCGCGAAGCTCGCGAACGTGAAGAAGCTGAAAGGCGCGAACGTCGCGAGCGCGAGGAGGCCGAGAGACAGGAGCGCCTTGAGATGAAACGACTAGAATTGGCAATCCTACAGTGTTCGCAGGCGCCTAGCGTAGCTTCTCCGACGGTTCAGGTCAGCGGTTTTAGAATTCGGGACCAACTGCCACCGTTCGTAGTAGGCGAGGACATGGCGAAGTATCTCGTCAAGTTTGAACACGTCTGTGAGCGAAACGCTTTGGAGCGGCCTCTTTGGGCGCGGAACCTGCTAGCTCTTCTTCCCGGCGAAGTGTCCGACGCGATAACTTGCTTGTCGAGGGAAGCGTTTGAGAGCTATGACGAGGTTAAGGAAGTGCTCTTGAGACGTTATAAGTTGTCACCCGAGGCTTTCAGGCAAAGGTTCCGGTATGCTGAAAAGGGGAATGAGTCACACGTTGACTTCGCGTTTCGTCTTAAAGCTGATTTAATCGAATGGCTCAAGGGCGAAGGTGTTTATGACGACCGCGATAAAGTGGTGGAATGCGTTGCATTGGAGCAATTCTACCGCTGCATCGAAGATAATGTCAGACTTTGGCTGCAGGACAGACTTGGGGAAGTACAGCTAAACAAGGCAGCAGAGTTAGCTGAGGAGTATTATACTCGCCGAAAGTTGCACAGCAGGGCAGTGCGCGTTGAAAAGAATGAGAGAAAAGAGGGCTTTTCAAAGAAACTTGATCAACGGAGACCCGCTCCGCACCGTAATTTCAAGAAGGACCCGTCTCTTACGAAGGACAGTGTAGGGGAAGGGCAAACAGAAGCGGAGAAATCGAGTGAGGTTTCTACCACACAGGCATTAGAACCGGAAAACAAACGGAAGCCGCTAATCTGCTACAACTGCAAAAAGGAAGGGCACATCGCGAGAAACTGTCAGGAAAAGTTTGCTTTCGCAACGATCCGAGAATCAGAAAAAAACATTCGGTTGTTGGAGCCGTATCTCAAAGAAATTAGGGTGAATAAGAAAACGTGCCGAGCACTTATAGACTCAGCGGCAACCATGGACGTTGTCCATCCTTCATTGGTGTCCCCGGATGACTTCACAGGAGAATGCGCGTGGATCAGGCAGGTCGCCGAGGAGCAGAGTGTTCGCTTACCAATCGCCAAGGTTGTCATTAAAGGCCCGTTCGGTGAGCTTCGCACCGAAGCGGCTGTGTCTGCCGCGCTAAATGATCGTTTTTCTTATCTTTTCTCCAACAACTCGGAGCAGCTTCTCAAAGAGCAGGGCAAATCGTTCTTCCCCAACTTAGCGTGCATGGCTCTCACGCGATCGCAAGCGCGAAAGCTTTCGCGGAAGCTGGACCTGGTTCCATGCGGTGAACTCTCAAGTGACCTTGTCGGCGGGTCGACGGAACCCCAGAAAGGAAAGTTTCCGCATGAGTCATGTGAGCAGTCACGCGAGCGGCCCGTCGCCGACACGACCAGCGCGGTTTCCGGAGAAAGGGGAGACGACATGGCGCCATTGAGTCAGAGCGAGAGGGCTGCAACGCTCTCGCCTGTAGCGGAAAGTTGGAGCGAGCTGCCGAGAGTTGATCGAGAGACGCTCATTCGAGAGCAGAGTGAGGATCTCTCGATTGAAGCGCTAGTGGAAAGCCAGAAAAACGCGGCAAAAGTGCTGTCGAAGGAGCACTACGAGAAATCGGGGAAGAAGCGCGCTTTTGAAGTTGATAATCAGGTAATGCTGCTGCAGCCGTCCAAAAGGAACAAGCTTGAGGTTGATTGGGAAGGGCCCGCAAAAGTAGTATCGAAGCTTTCTGATACCAATTGTGAATTTAAATTAGGAAGGCGGCCGAACAAAGTTTATCACAGTAACTTGAAAGCAGTCGTAAATTTACTTTTAAGTGCTTTAGAGGAAGAGGAAGCAGAAATTTTTAGTTCTAGTGAGATAATCGAAAGGAAATCGGAAGTAATCTGGGAACAGTTGAACCTAGAGCCTAGCTTAAGTGAAGGAGGACCTGAGAAAGAGGACCTGAGAAAAATTGGTTCCGAGTTTGAAGACGTGTTTTCGGACCGCCCCGGAAACACGACGGTGATCGAACACGATATCGAGCTAAGCGGTGAGGAGTCAATCCGTAGCAAGCCGTATCGTTGTTCCCCTGTGCAACGTCGAAAGTGTGAGCCGCTCTTGGTGCCGCATAGGTATCGTCGCCTAAAAGTGACCGGTTACTGAGGTGGAGCATGTTGCTCCACAGCGCAAATTTTGACGTTCGCTATAAAAAAAAGGGGGGGAAAGCTAAACGCTAATGCAGGTGCATTGAGCAGTGCGTTCCAGCTAGTACCTTCTCAACCTTTCGGTTTCTGGCTGGCGATTCGGGGCAAAATTTTGACCTCATCACGACCTGGGCTGAGCGCTCTCGTTTAGAGTGATCTCAAGGGGCAAACTATGTGGTATTCTAATTCATTGCGTTGTTGTAATTGTGAAAAATTCAAGTTCTTACTTTAAGAGTCTTGTGTCCCACATGTGCCTCTTGATGTAGTGGGAACAAAATTCCGATAGACACGTAGATAGGTATATGTTGTACTATACTTTGTCTGGTGTTCTGTCGGGTGACCGAGGGCACTTGCTTGTGTCGTGTGTTGTTTGTTGTCGAACCGTTCTTAGCAAGCTGCAGAACCATTGTCAAGTGCTCAAACCGAAGATGGTCAGAAGAGACGAGCGAAGTTGGCCAGCAAGTTGTGGCGACAAGCCAGTGGAGCTGGGATCCGTCGTCAAAAATGGGATGTGTTTCCGGAACAGTCTGGAGCTGTATTCTCCCCATGGC